ACACACATATATATATATATATATATATATATATATACACACACACACATGCATACATATACATACATACACACACAATACATACCGTACATGCATAGACACACACGTACACACGCCCCTCCCACACACATATTCACACATACATACATATACACATACATACAAAAACACATACATATACATACATATAACAGAGTAAATATTGTAAATTTAATTCAATAACATTAAAACCAGACATATTAGTCTTGCAATAGACTAATATATGATTATCGAAAACTTTACTCGCAATAGTATAATTAATAGGGTTTATACAATTTGTTGTTAAAATTTGATATTCGTAATGGAAGATTTCTGGTTTTTAGAAATTATTTGTAATATTATAGGTAGAAACCCAGCAAACGTCCGTTTTACGAATAGTCGATATTACCAATGACCTTTGCATCATCGACCAAGTAATAACGTTAAAAAGTCCGATTGCGTACGTTTTTCAAAGTGATAATGTATATTTTTCTTAATAATAAAATCAGATTTGTTGTATTTATTGACAGTTCAATCTTTTCCATTTCTGCTATAATAGTCGCTATAGTAAGGAGTTTTAGATATGCTAATTATCTATGACGTATTACAATGTTGGCCACACAGAGGATAAGCTCTTGTTTTAGTTTTGCGAAGACGATGCATACCGGACATGCTTGAGTGAATTGAAAATAAACACTGTACTAATATTAAATAGGCTTTTGTGGGGTTAGGTTTATACTCTGTGTGTAGACCTAGGCCTAGCTAGGTTAATTATCAAAAGTACAAGCATATCCTTCAATTATAAAAACAATATTTAAATCATACTTCTTTCAAATTCAATGTCAAACACATCCATGAATCCTTCAATGTAAAAATAAACCAAAGCTTCCTTTCATAAATAAAACTGTAAAGTTTTGTACTACTGTAGCATACATGCTGTACCAATCATGTCAGCACTGAATGAACTGTTGCTGTGTATCACATTTCGCGCTTTTTGACAAATTATAACATTGTTACAATTTATTGTTGTGTTTCCTCCCCTATAGTAAACATCTTATTATTCAGGGATCAACTAAATAAACTTCCACAATTTCTTTATATTGAAAAAAAAAAAAAAAACCATACTGTAAAATAGTAACTATTTTATGTATCAATATGATTTTAAATTTGTTTTTCATATTATTTTTATACTATTCCTTCAGGCATATTATTTTTTTAATTTGTCATCATCTTCTGGCTTTACCACTCCAATTATTATTGAATAATTATTTTTTTTACTCATTTTACCCTCCTATATTAGTATAAGTGGACCAAATAATTTGCTCTTGGGTTTTGGAATATTATTTTGTTCAGCAAAAAAATTAATATTTATCGTTCTTCTAAAATATTTGTTCGAGCCATCGGGAAAGAAAAATGATTGTGAAGTTGTGCAGGAGTGGGCAAAAAGTATGTTTATTGTTGACACCTAGCGGAGATCCAAATGAAATGCTTGGGAAGTTTAATCATATATACTGGGCATTCAGAGCACTTCCAAATTGCTTTCATCCTCCTTTACAGGAAAAAATAGGAAGAAATGGCTAAAAAACCAGGTATAAAATATGAGCTTATAGCAGAGGTACCGTAATCCAGTTGTGTAGCAGTGGGAAGAAAGACCTACAAAACTCCATTCCACAACTCAGTTCTCCACCACCACCTGTTTGTTCAGCATTTAGCAGACCAGAGAAAGATGTAGCAATAGCTAAACATCTTTCAAAATTTAGCAGTCTCACGTAAACAAGAATCTCAAACCATTATTTAACGAAAGAGAAGCAGTTGTATAGCGGTGTTTTTTTTTTATTTCATTTAATTTGTTCACTCACATATACATACATAATATTGTACAACAACAAAAAAAACTTAATAGTAAAAGAAATAAGAATAATAATACAGTACATAATAAGTGTGTGGAATTAAGAGGCCAAAATAAGTTTAGAATCAAACTTTAAGCCATGACCACCAGTTAAAATTATATTAAGCATACATCAATAAAATATTACAATTTAATAATAAAATAAATAATAAAAGTTGAATTAAGGCAGTGTGTCAATTATTCATTAATTTGACCAAAATATCAAGTTTACAAACAAGCACACAGCAATTAGATAAGCATAGCAATTAGATAAGCCTATCCAATAGTGACGTTAAAGGGTCGAAACCAGGATATATATATATATATATATATGCTCCTCACACACAAGCCAATATCAATATATATATACACACACACACTTTTGTATTAACAAAATAACATTATTTAATTCAAGATTTGAAAAGGACGACATCTATCAACTTTATAATGTTTTAAGTATTCCGCATGAAGTGCGATGCAAAAGTGGATCCGTATTTGATGGAATCGAGGCATTTTGTATGTTTTTTTTTATCGTTTTGCGTATCCATCTCGATATGCAGACATGGTTCCAACATTCGGTCGGTCAGTAACAGAGTTGTTTTTGGCAACATCCAAAATCGTGGATATCATTATTTACGACAATTTTAACCATCTTTTAGAAACTCTTCAACAGCCATGGCTTGCTCCAGATAAGCTTCAAGAATTTTGTAATGTTATTCAAACTTTTTTAACCATCTTTTAGAAACTCTCCAACAGCCATGGCTTGCTTCAGATAAGCTTAAAAATAAAATGGACATAAAAGAATTCATGGTAATAAATTTCAGTCCGTTGTCGCTCCGAATGCATTAATCGCAAACCTCGGCTCTTCAAATTATATTTGTAGCTAAAAATATTTGAATTGAGCATCTATTTTTCTAAATCAATGTCCATTCTTCATCCCATCTAAATAGGAAAAAAATAAATTAAAATTCCTTAAAAATTATTATAAATGGCATTTGTTGATAAAGTTTACTCAAGAATAAAGTTCCATTATTGCATTAATCAACATGACATTACATACATTTGATGTGAGGTGCTTAGTATTTGAGGTCATCATAGTAGTACTCATTTTTAAGAGATACATTAAGTCCTCATTTTATTAGTAGAAAAAAAGAAATAAAAAATTAAGATGTTTTTATGGTGCAAAGTAACAAAAACTTTAATAGGTTTGAGTTAAATATTGTCAGTGGTATTGAAGGAATATATACTGTAATATTTGTTCATTTACATTGACATATATCTAATACCTTTTGATCTTTTTTATTGCTCATTCTTGATCTGCTGGTATGGTCAATGGTGCTCCTGAAATTAATACAATTATACATTGATTGAAATATTATTTATATTTAATAATTTTATATTATTTTATATTATTATTGTTTATTATTATTATTTATTATTATTATTATTAACAGTGTTGTTGTTGTTGGTATTATTATTATTATTAATATTTGGTTATTTTATTATTTTTGTTATTTATTATAATTGATATGATTTTTTTACTATTATTATTATTATTATTATTATCTATTTGAGTTTATTACAAACAAGTAGTTTTGCCTGCCATGGTGACCGTATTCTAAGACAAGATCAATATAATAAGGTTATGGAAAACTTATCAGTAAAAATCAGCCTACCTTGAAAACCTACAACAATGGGTATTGCTCCTGGTGTTTGTTGTCCATCTGAAACAGGTACAAAACTGGTAAAAAAAAAGATAGACCCAAAATGTGTGTTGTAAAATTGCATCAAGGTATTACAGTATTAACAAAAAAAAGAAAGAAAAAGAAATCTCTACCCAAAACACGAACATACCTAGGCCTCAGGCCTCAGACCTCTATAAAATATCTTGACCTAGGCCTAAATAAAACAGCACATAAGTTACTAAAATCCAATTTAACAAAAAAAGTAATAATATAGGCCATAACTTACATACAAAAATGCTGTTGGATAGAGTTGACTCCGGAACTTGCAGTTGTGTGGGTAGAGTATTCTGAAAAAGTAAAATCAATGACTATTTACTAACTTAGGCCTAGGCCTAGGTACAGTATGTCATATATATTACAGGCCTAGGGCCTAGCCTAGGCCTACTCATTATTAACATTACATCATTTATTTTTTAGGCCCTGGCCTACCCCTAGCTAGGCCATGCCTAATTAGGATTAATAAATAGCCCGATGCTGATTTTTCGTATCTAATTTATTTTTTTAAATATTTTTTCTTCAATCCATATATTCTTGTAGTGTTTTATGTCTTTATGGTAGTAGTAGTAGTCTAGACCTAGGCCTACTATAGACCTAGCCTAGGCCAATCTAGGCCTAGCCTAGCTAGGTATTAGGCATGGGGAGGGCGTTCGCGAAGTTTAGATCTGGATTTTGATCGAAGGCTTACGTTATTTTTTACTCTATGATATACCTATACCATTATCAATCATTGAAACAAAAGTAATCATATTCATATATATGACGTTTAAACTTACAATTTTCTAGCCATATTTTCTTGGTGAACAACAAAACCCAACAAGAGTTTCGCGCGAGCTTGAAAACCAGGGTTGCCAGATAGTCGACAGGCCTCACGCAGGCCTCACGGCAAAACACACGCCATCTCACGGCCAAATTCGGCCAAACTTTTTTTCGATATCGGCCAAAATTCTCCCGATTAGAAGACAACAGTGGGTACATTCATTTGAAATACTACAAACATTATACGAAAATCAGCGGTCATTCGTTTGAAATTGAAGAAATTCAAATGAT